CCTCAAGGTTTAAAGAGGATAGAGCAAACATAGGGCTTGGCACATGGTAGGCACTCAAGGACCCTTGCACCTCCATTGTTACCAGAATCAATACCTGGGTTGAGTGGTGGGCCTGTGATTTCCCTCATGCAGCAGTTGATACATCCATCAGGGCAGTGTGATGAGGTGAACAAGTCTGGGAAGATCAGGCTGGCATGCTGCTGGCCAATGTTGCAGCATGTGACTGTCGCCAGGCCCTAGAGCCCTTTCTTCTAGTAGCTTCTTGTTCTCTAATAGTATTATCCCAAGATTACTTCTGTTGCCACAGAATTGTGAAGGTAGGGAAAAGGACTAGGTGACGTCTGCGCCATCACCCCAAACTCTCCCTGTCTCATCCCAAGAACCTCTCCAGAATCTAAGGAAGCTTGTCAGTTGAAGGGCTCTTCCAAGGCCATCAGAATCAGAGCCTGCAGGGCCTGAAGCCAAATCCACATTGTCCAAGGCCCCCCACATACCTCCAGTTGGGATGCTGATACTTGAATGCCTTTGAAATTCAAGGACACCAACTCTGTTCATGCCTGGAGGGAACAAGAGGAAACAGACACCTGAGGATTTACAACCCTCAAATATCTCCCTGTACAAAAAAAAAAACAAAAAAAACAAAAGTGACTTTCATTTCTTTCCCAGAGCTTCCTTGGCTTTCTTGCTGTTTCCTGCAGGCAGACTGGCGTCAGTTGCAGAGGCCTCATCCCGCTGAGCGCCCAGGGGTGCAGCTGCAGGCTCCATGTACCTGCCATTCCAAGGCACCCACCTTTAATATGTACCTCGAGGTCTGCGCCCTGTCTCTGATGGATCCCAGCAGTCCAGAGAACTCTGGGGACCGCAGTGGAAAGGAGGAAAGGGCGGGATGGACTGAACTGGCCTTGGTCTCTGACCACTTGTCACAGCTTGACTGCCTCCCAAGTGATTCTAAAATACCGGCGTCTTGAGGGAACTGCCATTTGACAGTGCATGCCACCCCGGATTCTGCACCATGGCCAGCATGAGGCTAGAAATTAATAACTGTGAGCGATTATCATGGAAACTGTCTCCAGGAAAAACGACCAGGTTTATACCATTCAACCTTGGGAAGATAAAATCAGGTCTAGCAGAAAAAAAGACAAATGATCTACAGCAAATGTAGGACTTTAAATCCAAAGAGCGTCCTGGAGCCTGATGAGACACCTGCCTTGTCTCCCTGTCCGGGAGGCTTGGGATGCAGGAGTAGGGGGCGTCTCTCTCTAGCCCATGAACGGACTCAGAATCTTGTGCTCATTCTAGACGCTCTCCAACACCTCCTGCCCTTATCGCTCGGTTCTGTCAATTTTGCCTTTCTGTGGGTCTCTCCGTTCAGCACCCTCTGCGTGACCTGTCAAGACCGGACTTGACTTGTCCCCTGCCACACAGCCTCCTTTCTGCTTTGTCCATTCAATGTCTCACCCACCCCCACCTCAGCCCTGCTTCTAGAAGAGCCTGGAAAAACAGAAATCTCATCACATCGCCATGCACAGAAACCATCAATGAACAATAATGGCAAAATATTATCATTGTTAAGGCTGAATGGCGTGAACGTGGGGGCTTATTTTATTATTCTCATTACACTTGCGTACGTTTGAAATTGTTCATAATAAAACAAATCCTCGCCAGCCCTCCAGGCATCTGAGGATACAGTCCAAAGTCCCCAGGCTGGCATTCAAGGTCCCTCAGGACCTGCCCCTGCCCCATTTTTCCAGCTCACCTCCTGACACTCACCATACTGTAGCCTCTTGGCACCCAGCTCTCTCCCGAAGCCTTATCTCTGCCAGTGTGTCTCCTTCTTGCAGAACATGCTTTCCCTTCTTTCTTACCTAGAAAACGTTTCCTCATCTCTTGGAAACCACATGCAAATGACCCCTGGACTGGGATATGGGATACCTTCCCAGGCCTGGCCCTCCCTTTTTATTTGCGGGGAGTGGCGGGGGGGGGGGGGGGGGGGGGGGGGGGAGACAGCCTATGCCCTGGTGTCTGCCCAGGCATGATACAGAGCAAACTCTCCGTATGTTTGGGAGAGACCAGAACGTCTTGGTTAATAAAGCAGGTGCAACATTTACTTGAACTTGGGTAAGTAGGGCAATCTCTCTTAGCTTCGGCTTCTGTCTCTATAAAATGAAGATAATAGCAGTACTTATCTCACAAGGCTGAGATAAGGATTCGGTGGTATTCTCCGTGTAAACAGCTTAACACAGTACCACAGTACCTGGTGGGGGGGGGCGGACTTATAGACAGACTTCAATCAAATAATATAGTGGATAATTAAGCAGCTTCTCCTCGACGAAATGCTCCCAAAACCCACAGGAAAGGAACTACTGTTTAGCCCTTGCTGGGGGCTAGAGAAAACTGGAAAATTGGTGACCTCAGAGTCACGATTCCTCTCTCGGGCCCACGGGTGGTTCTTACTTTAGGGGAGTGGAGGTGAGGGGAGGGGGGTCTTCAAAGGTCGTGGCCGGAGGCCCGGGCCCAGGTTTCGGCTCCTCTGGGAAGAACTGTTGCAGGTCTGTGGCCGGGGCCTGGCCCGAAATCCGGGGGCCAGGAAGGCACAGGGTTGCACGAAAATCCGTCCTGGCGACAATCCCCAGTCTGTGAGGTGTCGGCGAGTTCGGGCCGCCCCGGTGGGGGCCGCGGGGTGAGAGGATGGGAGCGGGGTCCGCGGCGGCGCCCCCCACCCGCCGGCCCCGCTGCTCCCGGCGCCCGCGGCCTCGTGCGTCACCGGCGCGGGCGGGGGCCGAGGGGAGGGGGACGCCGCAAGGTGAGGGCCCCGCGCCGCCTTAAGACGCCGCGCGCCCCCGCCGCCGCTCAGAGCTTGCAGCGCGGCGCGCCGGCCGGACGTGCGGGCTCAGGCGCCCCGCTCCCGCCGCGCCCCGCGCCCCGCGCCCGCCGCGAGCTCCCCCGCCGCCGGCGCCTCGGGAGGCAGCCCGGACGAGCGCGGCGAGTCCCCGAAGGAGCGGCACGCAGCTCCCGCGGCGCGACGCCTCCGCCAGCAACAGGTAAGCGGCCCGGGGCCGCTGCCCGCGCCGCGGCCCCCGCGCCC